TAAATATAACCAATAAGATGATAGAATGAAATAATTAATAAAAATTATGATATGTAAAGTCATATCATAACAATATAATAAAATTATAACAATTAGTTTAATTAATAACTTGAATAAAATATCTTTAATAAAATATTTATTACTTGATTATTTTATTATTAATATACAAAAATTAACTAAATAATAATAATATTATAATAATAGTATTTATTATATACTATATTAAACACTTAATCAGATTACTAAAGAATATCAATATTATATTGCTTTAGAATTGTTCTTATACTAAGTAAATAACAGAAATCTATTAGTAGTAATAATTTATTTTGATAATAAAAAAAGATACATTTATTATATACAAATTTTGAGATTATATAACTTATTATAGATTGATTTTATGAAAGATATAATTAATAATAAATATCAAAAAGAGTTCTAAAAATCAAATTATGATAATATTAATAAATAACTATATAATATATAATATATTAAATAATAAAAATAAACAAGAATTTTTTAAATAATAAAAAATTATTAATTTTATAATTTAAAATTATATATTATTATAATATAAATATTTAGTTCTTATTTTAATATTATAATTTAATTAAATAAGATTTTGTTATATTTTATTGATTAAAAATTAGTTTTAATTTAATTAAATAATTAATTAGTACTTTATTATTTGTATTAATAATATTAATACTTGTGTTAATATTAATAATACTTATATAAATATTAAATAATATTGATAATACTTGTAATTAAATAATCTATAAAATTAATATATTAACAAAATTAATTACAAATTAGTTATATGAGTACTATAAATAATTATTATAAATATAATATATATTTTAGATAAGTTTTTTAGATTTTAGATTTTTTTATTTTAAAAATAGTTATATAATTATATTTGTATTGATTTTTGATCTTGAAAAATAAATCACTTATAATAAATTATTATTATTAACTTCAAAAAATAATTATTTAATAAACTTATTGTTTGTATTATAATTTTTAAAATTCTAAAATAAATATATAAAACTTAGTAAAGTTATTGAATATTATTCTAGTTTATCACAATACAAATATACATTATTTATTTTTAATAATAATTTTAGTCTCTTTCATTTTTAAGTTAATAAAAACATATAAATAACTTAGACTTAACAAAAACAATAATAATATTAATTAATTAATTAATAATTACAAAGAATATAATTAAAAAAAATCAAAAATATTATTGTACAAGTATTATAATAATATTAAAAAATTCCATTAATATTGTTTTAAAAACAATATTTTTAAATCTATAATTTAAAAATTTAACTTTTATATAAATAAAAAATTGAATTATTTAATTAATTTCATATCTGATTTCTTATTTAATATTTTTTATTTATTATATTATTATTTTTAAATAAAATTGAAAATAATAATAATACTAATAATTATTTTTATTTATTAATATAATATTTATTTAGATTTGAAAAGATATTATTATAAAAGAACAAGAAAAATTTTGTTTAACTAAATGTTCTTAAATATATTTGAACAATTTAAATCTAACAGAGATTTATATAAATGATAAGTTAAAAAAAAACAAGTTCTTCAATATTATCTGGACTTGTTCAAAAATTTCAACAACTTTTGTTTCAAGTAATTGACTTTTTTTAGATATCAGAAATTATATTTTTATTTGTTATACATGTTTAAATTCTAGTTTTTTTGTAATATAGTATTTTTAAAAAAAAATAATCGATATTTTTCCATTTGAAAAATAGATTTAATATTTTTTTCATCTAAAGAATACATTTTAATTTTTTAGTTAATTTCCACCTTAAAATAGAATTTAATTCAATACATATTAGATTATTATCTTAGATCTAATAATATATTACTTGTATCACCGATCATTAATCACAAATCAAGTGATTGATGCAAGTGATACGGCCCGCTGTATATCTACTTGGATCATCTGAATAATTCATCAAATACAACTACTACAACTACTCGGATTATTCGAATTAAATTAACGATTTTGATTATGAATGACTGATTTGAATTACAAAACCATAAATCTCAGAATGCTGATAATCACACGTAAAGATGGGTCCTGAAACTATTTTATTAGTGTGTCTAAACTCATAATTGAGTTTAGAACATTTCAGTCTGAAAATATTTACACTTTATTTTAATAATGTTTGAAACTCAGACTAAGATAATTTGAGTGACCTAAACTATAACAGATATTCCTAGATAGTTTTCATAGATTCATTAATATAAAAATATTGTGAAATTGAAACTAATTTAGGTCATTCAAAATAGTTTAGAACATGTCAAAATTAATTATCGGAAAAATGAGTGATCTTTTTGGTTTGATCATCTATCACCTGGTCCCTTTTTGTATTATTAGTATGGACAGTCTCGATTTTCTCGGAAAGTCCCGGAATTTTAGGTTTCTTGTTGATGAAGGTGAAATATACAAAGTATGATCATCGCTAATATTATCGTTATTTGGCAAAGATTCAAAAAGTCGTAAATTCATTGGATATTTCAAATAGCTTAATTGCTGCTTCAATATAATTTAGTCACATACAGAAATTACCCATCCCTTAAAATCATGCAAAAAATTGAAAACAAACGCTTACTTTGAAAAATAGCTTGTATCTTGAAATTTTACCTATGAAACAATCACTTGTGTTCTAACAAAAAATGTTCCTTGCGAAATTTTACTGTATACTATGTTCATGTTTGTTATACAATAACCCTAATCGTAACCGAACTCTATTTAATATTATTAATGATGGTTGGTGTTGGTATTACGTACTTACATTTAGTGTGACTGAAAAAGGTAACACGAAATATTAATCATTACGCGCAAGTTAAATGCTAACGGTGGGGTTTGAACCCACGCACGCTGTCGCGTACCAGATCTTAAGTCTGGCTCCTTAACCACTCGGACACGTTAGCTGAAATATGTAAATTTACAAGCAAAATCTAGTAAATTATTATTTTTGAAGGGAGAATACTGAATAACAACTTTCGCTTGTAAACTAGGCTCAACACTTGATTATAAATCTAATAAATGCTCTGCTAATTATTCATACCCACTGTTTATATAAAAACAATCCAAATTTACTTCGACAAAGCTTCACTAATAGCACGCCGCAATCCTCCTAATTCAGAATCACCAAAACACTCCAACGGTCGCATGCTCCTCCCAAACACACTCCCAAACTTCTCAGCAAGAACAGGCAAAACAATTTCAACCGAGATTTCCTGTTTTTCTTGTTGCATTCGGTTAAGATTTCTATTAACAAACTCAATCTGTTGTTGTTTCGCGATCTGTTTCGCTATCGAGGTCATTTTTTTGTCAATTAATCCGCATGGAATAATATGGTCAAACCAACTGAGATCAGTATTACAGTTCAGTGCAAATCCATGTGATGTTATATATCGTTGTACTTGAATCCCTAAGATCAATAAAATTCAAACTAACATCTTCGAACCAAAGTGAACTCGAAATCAAAAATAAATGTTTTTACCAATTGCACATATTTTTTCACCGTTTGCCCATACACCTGTATGTTCAGTCGTTTGAGCCTTTATTCCATACATGGCACATGTTTCAATTATTACGCGTTCAATAGCGGCTACATAACATCTAACAGAAAGCTTGCTTGTTTAATAAAATAAAAATAATTAAACGTTAAATTTTGATCAGAAGCATGTCAAAGAGATGAATAAATGCTCTTTTACCTTATAGTTTTGTAAATTGAGTATCGGGTACCCAATTAATTGACCAGGACCATGAAATGTAGTTTGACCACCACGTAAAGTCTTTATTTCAAAAGGAAAAAAATGGTCATAGAATTACCAAAAAAGATGCTTCAAATTCTTTCTCTTCTCATCACAAAAAATGCACCAATTAAAAAAACCCAACTTCAAAATATTCTGCACCAAACTCTCGCAGCCTTTTCTCTTCAATCCCGACATTGTTAATAAGATCTTCTTTGCTGCTGCTCCCGCCTCCTGCTCCTGTACTTCTTTTATCACGCCTACCAGTTGTATACGTAGGAGAATGTTGTAATAAAAGTAAAATGTCAGTGTTGGCTACATCATGTAGTCGTTCATTTTCTTCTGTTGGTAGAGGAGAGGAAGAGGTTTGAAGTTGCTCTCGAGCTTTTAAACGACGAGTAACAAGGTGTGCTTGTAGAGAAAGTGCTTTCGCATAGGATATTTGTGAAAGGTAAATATATGGGAGATACGTGCTAACGGCAAGACCGGATAGAGGTAAAGAACAAGCTCGACCAGAAAAAATAGACATGACCAAAATTTCTGAGAGCCAACACCGGATACTAATTAAAAGGTCATTACCGGCAGAATATCCAGATCGACTACCAATCAAATCTCCTCGAAAGAACCCACAATTTCAAATTTCTACTCCTTTTTCTATTTTTTATATAAAAGCATGGTTGTCTCGTATCAGTTTCAATATCTTTCTCACGAGGTGCTCGCATCCGTATAAACCTTTCGCCTTTTACTAAAGGTTTCCGTGTGGGCGCCTCACTGCAGTGAGATTTCGAAATTTTTGGACTTTCTTGCGCATTGCAAAGGCACAGTGTGCAAGAAATTTTTAATATAACAGCGTGGGGGGAAAAGAGTGTTTGTGTGTGTAATGAAGTGTAATGCTTCTAACGGGTGTAAAATATATTTAACTTAATAAAATGGCACGTTTACTCTCGTACCTGGGCTTGCAAAAAATCACCAATTTTCCTTTACCGCAATTACAAACCAGATCACATGTGTACTCTGTCACTGGAAATCTTGCATTAATCCAAAAACTTTTACCAGTCTGTGAAAACTCATACGATTACGCACAACAAGAATTAAAGTGGTTGTCGTTGCATGTTGTAAACAATTTACGACAGCAAGGTCACCTACGAGAAAAAGATTCTGTTTCCAGCAATAGTAATGATTGTTATGGTATTTAGAGTTCTTTGTATACTTTTTGTCAGAAACGATGAATTCTTATGATGATTTTTATTTATATAGACAATCATCCACAAACAACCGACGAAGCATGGAAAATTATGTCTCTCGAAGAAAAGGAAGTTTTGTCAGCGTTGGTAAGACAGCGTGTTGAGCAATCGAAACCATTACAATATATTTTGGGTATGTTGACTACCATTAATATATGGCGGAAAGTTTAGAAGCCTTTTTTTAATTTATACCGCGGTCTGTATTTTAGGAACACAACCATTCTTGGATCTAGAAATTATCACAAGGCCGCCAGTTTTAATTCCGAGGTATAACAAGCAATCTTTCCGAGGTTTGCGATTTATTTACCAATGAATCAATACCCTAATATTCGTATTTTTGCTCAGATGGGAAACAGAAGAATGGACTTCTTATCTCATAAACCTCTTGAATTCTCATCTCGATGCTCCAAAAAGAAAACCAAGACTCCCATTTAAAATTCTAGATATTTGCACCGGATCAGGATGCATCGGACTTGCCCTAGCACATAATCTCACACACAATACTTGCACAATCCATGCAATAGATAATGCACCGGACGCACTATTACTGGCTCAAAAAAATATAAGCGTACATAATCCTCATAATCGTGTAATATTATCAAATCTCGATATCATGAAATCGAGTAATAATGAGTTATCGGAATTCGTGAAAAGATGCAAGTCTAGTGGGAGCGGGTATGATGATGATGATAATAATAACAATAATAGTAGTAGTAATAGCAATGATGATGAGAATGACGGTTTTGATTTGATAGTATCTAATCCTCCTTACGTCACTCGTGCAGAATATGAAACGTTGAGCAACGAAATCAAGTTGTGGGAGGATAAGCGAGCGTTAGTAGCCGATAATGAAGATGGAACGGCATTTCATCAAAGAATTGCAAAACTGGCACTTGGATTACCTTTATTGAGAAAACAAGACATTGAAACAACGAAGATTGAAACTCTTCCAAGAGTAGTAATGGAGATCGGAGGAGAGAATCAAGTGAAAATTGTTAAAGAGGCTTTATATGAAAATGGTTTCGGATGGGTAAAGGTTTGGAAAGATGCGGCTGGTAAAGATAGATGCGTAATTGCCGGGACGCTTTTTTCAAAGTGATGTTGGTAAGATGTCTATTTTCTCTTGTAACTTTTTCCACATAAAATCTAAATCCATTGTCTATTCATAATTAAAAATTCCAGTACTTATAATAATAAATAATATACATCATTGAAAGATTTTTATTCGGATGACAACGTGTTATTTATATATGATTTTTTTGGTTCCTTAAACAGAGTGGTGTGATATTAATAAAAAAGTATTAGTCTAGATACTTCTATTTTCGTAAATAATAATGATGAAAAACATCTAACGCGGATAATGTAGGTGGTAATAAAATATATATAGTAAGTGAAGATTATTTACACACTAATCAGAAAAAAATTTTGGTTAACGAGAACAAAAAAAGCAAAGCATATAGTGAGCTTATCAAAGTAATATATACACAAACTTTTTACAATCGAATAATGGTTTTTACGTGTTAAAAAAGGGAGAGAACAATAACTAGAAAAATAAAGACTTGATACTTATGAGGAGTTTAGCAAGCAACGAACAATGTTTTTGTTATCACAAAAAAATAATGTCTTTAATGAACCTCATTGTAGATTTTTCGTTAATTCCCGTTCTCAACCATTTACGATTCCATTTCCACTTGATCGGCGGCTTGCATCAAGGTCATCATCTTATCGATGTCAACATCAGAGCCATCGCTCTCAACGGCAAGTAATAAGCTGTCGAGCAAACTGTCCACTTGATCAGGTTCAATACCACAGCAAGATGCGATTATTATTTTGTATTGTGTTTCAATGTCTGTTGTGTTTCGATTAATCGCCGCGATCTCTTGTTGGATTTCAGCTTCTTCTTTAGCATACGCTGCTAATTTCGCTTGGAGTTGTTTAGATTCATTAGCAGAAGAATCCGTTGTTGATGTAGAAGCTGCGTGTTCTGTTATTATTTGTATCGGTCGTGTGATATCCTTGGATGATGATGATGCAGCATACGTAATGGGCTTTGGAAGTGATGTGGACATTCCAGATGAAGTAATCATGGGTGCAGTCAAGGTTATTTCTGTCTTTGCAGGGACCGCCAATTCAACAATGGATGTGTCGACTAGTCGTGAACCTTGATATCCATTAGTATTATCATATCTTGCACGTTTGCGTGTTACATCTTGCTCATCTTTCAATGTTTTCTCAAGGTATCGTATTCGCGATTCAGTTTCATAGATCTCCCTCTCTTTTTGTCGATAATGTTTAATCTTTTCGTTCGTTTGATCCAAAATTGCGTGTTTCGCGTAAACCTCCTTCCGCGTTTCTTCGATCATCTGATCTTTACTATTTAATTGCTCTAAATACTCTTCTTCTGCTTCATCGACAATCTTTTGGAGAGCTAATATTAATTCAAATAGAAATTTTTCTTATCAGTTAAAAACGGTTCTTTTACTGATTTAACTCCAAGGCACTTACATTCTATGAATTCTCTGCTGCGCTCCCGCGAGTTATAACATGTGCCGTTAGTCGTAATAGAATTATTAGCAACCTCGCTTCCTTGAACCTGTTTATCAATTAATTTATAAATTTTCAATTTCAAAAGTTCAAACTAATATCAAATATTACCGTTGGTTCATCATTATTCATTTCTTCTGCCGCTGCCGCAGTAAAATCTCCAACATCTAATCCAATATTATTCTCGATTAAACGACTAGCTCCCGTTTGTTCCAACATCTGCACTAGCTTGACGCTATTTGCCTTTGCAGCAATAATCAGTGCTGTGTTACCGAATTTATCTTGATGATTTAAGATTGACGAGAGATTCCCTTCTGCATTCTGTATTATCCAATGTGTCAAACATTCCATGTAGTATTCTGCAGAGGAAACATGCGCCTCTTTCTCAGTCATCATTGCAATATGGTGGAATACAGTTCGATTATTGTTATCCGTGAGTGGGATTGTATCGTGAAGAAGATTTAATACTACTGGGAAGGTCTCATGTTCGTAATTATTTGTCCATGTAACTGCACGTATTAATGCAGATTCCCCTGCAGAATTGGTCCGAGTCACATTGGCTCCTTTTGTCAGTAATAGTTCGAGTGCTTGAAATCTTCCCAGCGCAGCTGCCCAATGAAGCATCGAATGTCCAAATGCGTCTATTGATTGATTTATATCAAAATCTATTTCCGAATTGATTTGAATGGGACTTGGTATTTGTTCCGAATTATCGTTAAATATTAAGGTTAACAGATAATTTCGGGTAGGAGTAGCATCCGAATCGTTGAGGTCTAATGATAATAATATGGCGCCTGATTCTTCTGGTGATGACTTTTGATATTCAGAGGATCCATTAACTTGGATTTGTGTTCGAGAAATCGTCAATGATCCCTCGTTTGATGTAGATACAACTGCCGGCTCCTTGCCCTTTGGCTCTTTGTGTTGTGGTATTATACTTGTATGATCGCCGATGACGTGTTGCATAGCTTCGCGTTCCTGCTCTACGCGCTTTTCATTTTCGCGTTCTGGAATCACGCGTTCATCTTCTGCTACTGCGTGATTTTTGATCTCGCGTACTTGAGTATCGTGATCTTTTATCACGCTTTCGTTTTGTTTGACTATGATTTCCTCAACTTCACTCTCCCCTAGCGAGTGCTCGAATTCCCCAACCTTTTCAGCATTACTTGAACTATCTTCGAAACCCGTATCCTCTGCCGACTGTTCTTTCTCTCCATGCTCGTTGAGCATAGATTCTCCGCTGACTGCCGATTCACTGATTAAACTTTCTTTATCCAAATGTTCGATAAACGATTGTTCTTTGATCACTTGTGCCTGTACATCAGCATCCTTTGTTGGTGTATAATTAGCGAATGATATTGATGGTGATGTAGATGTGCTAATGAGTCCGTCTGGTCGAGGTGGTTTATATTCTAGAATCGGTTTTAATATTTCGAATACCCCGTATTGTTCTGCCAATTCCTTCCCGCGTTCGTATGGAACCCTAGATGATACAAAATGCAAAGATTAAATTTAAATATCATTACCCGAAAACAAATAAGATGCATCAAAAGCTTCAATGCTATATCTGATGCTTGACGATATATTAGAAAAATAAATCTTCAAGTCATAGTTACAGAATCATCGCCCGATCGATAATGTTAAACTATTCTACGCTTACCAGGTTCCCTGGTACTTGCCATAACCTCCTTGCACTTTCTCGTGTTCGCCAGTGAGCACTTCCTTCTCGATAATTTTCGTACGTTTTCCTTTTTCCAATCCTGCTACCTTGAGGATTTGTGTGGCGTTCAAATAAGAGTCTGGACGCCGTCGCATTACGGCAACGTCATTTACTATGCATTCGTAGACGGGCACACCAGAGTAAACCGCGCCGTATACTGTGCCCGGCGGTGCTTTTGGAGAGGTAGGCTGTAGCGATGAGATATTATTATGGCCTACTACTATTGGTGATGGTACATTGTTAGATGTGAATGTTTCAATGTTGGATGGAGTCGTAACAACAGGTTCCAGGTCAAAAAGACTTGTCGCGCCTGTTTGCTTCGTCATTTGTATTGTAGTGGATGTCTGTGTAGTGGTGGTGGCAGCCATATTTGGCTGTATTGTAACTTTATTTGCTATGCTGCTGTTCATAACGAACTGTCTTTTGAAAAATCGGAACAAAAAAAAATGAATCGTTTGGTAATAGGATAGACAATTTCGAGACAGCGAGTAACGTAGAGATACACAAAAGATAAAGGTATGTACTAGATGATGGATGGATATAACCAACGTGTCTTTAACGAAGTCTCTGAATATCATGTGATAATATTTTGTGCACAAGGTGCGCGCGTGCATGTATTAACTGACCATAAAGTGGCTAAGTTTCAGGAGCAGTTAGAATTTACTAGATAACCCGTTTTTTCGATAGTTCCGACCACCTTGGTTTATCGAGGTATAATTCCTAAGGAAGAATATGCTTGATCTCTGTTCCTTTGATGCTGTGGAACTTTGCAAAAGATAAATTAGCGATGAAAACACTATTATGCTAATTTTATAACGATTAAAAAATAATTTATTATTTATAGGTTTAGCTTAAAGAAAAGAAGGTTCCGACGCATAAAAAAAAGCCAGAATTAATTTAAAATACTTTTGATGAAGTAATATAAGAATCGGACCAAGCTAAGCAAGGATACATATTAATATAAATTAGATTTTAAAGATGAATGATGATGATCGTGCATGGAAAAGGAGCCGAAGCTTTTCGCGAAAAATCACAACTCTGCGGAGTATATCGTCGCTTATTGCTGCAACAATGAATAAATCATTAAAGGATTAATTAACATTTAAGAATCGGGCGACAGAAAATTATTATTTTTTTTAAAATCCTTAATTGTTAAAATTAAAAAAAAGTCTGCAACATACTCTATCAATATGGGCTTGATTACCCTAATTATAGCACGGTGATTTTTAACGCCATGGACAACATAATAATGATAAATAATAATACGGTTCAATCATCCATCAGCATCACACAACACCCGTACAATACTTTTTTTTCTAGACACGCTGATCCGCAGCACAATGACATATATAGTATAGTTCGTGAATAATCTCTCACAATTATTAGTGGAGGGATATCTAGTTGTAAGTTAATGTTTGGCTAAAGAAAATATATCTATATATATACCTTTCAAGTCACACTGATAGTCGAGTTTCTTAAACGCGCCTCTCTTAATTATAAGTCTTAAAGGATTCAAAATCACCACTACACGCTCTCACATACACACACTACTCGTAAGTATATGTATTATTTCGATTTGTGACCCGATATTTAAATAAAGCACCATCATAAATAAATCTGTGCCGAGTTATATGTTTTGCGAGTTGTTGAATAGATTTTTTGTTGCAAATTTTATCTGATAGATCTGAATAGAGAGAACCTTGGCAGCCATAGTTGACTATAAGGCAATAATGATGGCGACCTCGCACACATTTCCGCCTGAAGAGACTCTTCCTCATCCACCCATAAATTTCGCTAAGCAAGCTGTAATTTATAACAAGAAAGGAACTAAATGCATGAACATTGTTAAAGAACCTTCCCCGACGAATCAATCACCAATATCCTCACCCCCAGGTCAAGACTTCGATGCGTTAGCCTCGTCACACCAAGCTCAAAATGGTGCGGTGAAGAAGAAAAAGAAAAAGAAGGGAAAGAGAAAGGTCGGCGTTGAAAATCAGGAAGATGGTGATCTGGGCGAAAATGATACAGGTATTCAGGCTTTAAACAATTCGTCAAATAATTATACCATTGAATTGGAATTACCTAACGAAATTGATGAAGATTTAGACGAGTTTTATTCAGACGATGATGGTTATGATCCTGAAGCTCCCGAAATTCCTATTCCACGTAAGGACTCGGTTTCCAATTTCGACAGCGAGGAAACTCATAACAATAATAATATTATTAGTAATAATAATACAACCACCATTGCACCTTCTAAGAAAAAGAAGAAGAAGAAGAAAAATAAATCAAATATCTCGATAAATCAACTGCCCAGTGATGTTCATCCAAATACCCATCAAAACCATCATCATAAATCCCGTAAAGATGGTATCTGGAATACCAATAATAGTGAAGAACGTCAACGGATACGTGAATTTTGGTTGCAGTTAGGGGAAGAAGAAAGGCGAAGTCTGTTAAAAGTAGAAAAGGAAATGGTTCTAAAAAAAATGAAAGAACAACAAAAGTCTCCATGTTCTTGTTCCGGTTGTGGCAAGAAGAGGTTTGTCATATTGATTATGACTTAATTTTTTTAAAAGTTATTTTTCACCAATTTCGTCGGAAATCCTCCGATTCGACATATTTTTCCGCTGTTTTCTTTCCAAATATCACAGAATCTACTCTAAATTTCATTAGATATCTAATTGCGCATCTCGTTTCTTTTCAGAACCGCTATTGAGGAAGAGCTCGAGATCCTTTATGATGCATATTACGAAGAACTAGAACGATATGCAAATCAACAAGAACAACAGAATGGTCTTGGCAATTCAATGTCATCCATGGTTATTTCTGAAGAAAATGGAGGGGAATACGATGAAGAAGAAGATGATGATGACGACGACGATTATGATGATGATGATGATGATGAATATGAGGGTAGTGAAAATGGTAGTGATACAAGGAGAGAATTATTTCAATTTGGAAATAGTTTGACTGTTAAAGGTCAGTTATTTGGTTATTTGTTAAGTTAATTTGTTTAATGAAATGTTCCGGTGCCGAATATTTAATTTTTATTTATTTAGGCGGTATTTTAACTGTAGCTGATGACCTACTAAAAAATGATGGCAAAAAGTTTCTCGAAATGATGGAAACTCTTGCCGAAAAACGAATGCAGCGGGAAGAAGAGGTTGCAATGTCTCGTGAGTATGATGATGACGATGAGGAATATGACGAAGACGAGGAATATGATGCAGAAGAGGTTTGATAATTTATTTCTGCCAGTTTCCCTAGTGTTATTTTCTATTGTTGTCATCTCTAATTTTTTTTTGATATTTTAGGACAATATGACAGATGAACAACGTATGAAGGAGAGCAAGCAAATGTTCCAGATATTCGCCGCGAAAATGTTTGAGCAGCGGGTACTAAATGCATATAAAGAAAAGGTGAGTGTACTATATTTATCTAAAGAAAACCAAATCTATAAGATTAATATGATTATTTCTTCACTTTTTTTAATAGGTTGCGCAAGAACGGCAAAAAAAATTCTTGGAAGAATTAGAGGAAGAAAATCGATTAAAAGAAGAACGTGAACAGAAAAAGTTAAAAGAGAAGGAAAAAAAGAATGCAAAGAAGCGGTAATTACAAAAACAATCTTGAGAAAAGATATTTTCTTGCGATATTTTTTATTTTATCAAAGTAAAATAATTAATATCGTTTCCCTAGTGCTCAAAAACAACAAAAAGAGGAAGAGCGTGCTCGAAAAGAAGCTGAAAGGCTCGCAGAGGAAGCTGCCTTAAAGGCAGAGCGTGAGCGAAAAGCAGAAGAAGAGCGTAAACGTCGAGAAGAAGAACGCTTACGCAAAGAAGCAGAAAGACGTGCTAAAGAGGAAGAGAGACTAAAAAAAGAGGAGGAAAAACGTCGAAAAGCTCGTGAGGAAAAAGAGAGAGAGGAGCGGCGTCGAAAAGAGCAAGAAGCAAAAGAGCGTAAAGAACGAGAGGAGAGAGAGCGTAAAGAAAGAGAAGAACGTGCTCGAAGAGAACAGGAAGCTAAAGAGCGTAAGGAACGTGAAGAACGTGAAAGAAAAGAACGACAAGAGAAAGAAAGGAAAATAAGGGAAGAGAAAGAGCGTAAGGAACGTGAAGAGCGTGAGAGAAGGGAACGTGAAGAAAGAATACGTAAAGAGAGTGAAGAAAAAGAGCGAATGGAACGAGAAGCAAAAGAACGAAAAGAACGGGAAGAAAAAGAAAGAAAAGAGAGGGAGGAGAAAGAGAAAGAAAAGCTGCATCAACAGCAACAGCAACAGCAACAGCAAAGAACCGCTACACTACCACCTCCGAGACAGCACTTTGACAGGAAGCCACAATCGCAACCACCGCCTCAACAGAGAACAATAGCACCAATTGGTCAGCCACCATTACAGCAGCAACAGCAGCCACAGCAACCACCTCAATCACAGCCACCTTCATCGTCCTCAAATCAAATAGGTGTTCAAGCAAAAGCTGTTGGTCAAATGTCAAACGGGGGAGCAATAAATTGGATGAGTTATCCAACTCACGAAGCCCCTCAACAACTTCCCGTTAATCAGCCACCACCACCCCCTCATCTTCCTCCTTCACATCAACCCCCTCATCATTTATTTGGAACAGCTGGTGCTCCACAACCACCTCCGTTTGGTACACAAGGACTAAGTGGCCTAAATGGTCATACTAGTATTCCCAATGACATTATAAATGATATCTACACGAACAATAAAAAAATAATAAATACTCCTCCTCTTCCACCACAACCTCAAACGAACACTATTCCCGGTATAAATCCTCAATCTTCTTTATTTGCTACAGGGTTGGGGCCAATTGGCATGGTGCCACAACAGCATCATGGTCCACCAGTGATCCATCCGCATCATCAGCAAATGAGACAAAATATACCACCACCACCTCGTGGCTATAATCCTATAACTGCAAATCCACATTTACCTGTTCCTCCTCCATCATCTGTTACTTCTTCAAATTTATCTATTCTTAATGATTCAGTAATTGGTGGTGGTAATACTGGTGGTGGCAGTGCTAATATTAATGCAGGTGTGCCATCAACATTAGGGAGTAATCAACCTACCGGATTTGGTGGTGGTTTGCCTTTAGGTGGCGGAGGACAAGGACCATTGGGTACACAAACATTTAACCTAGGTACTCAAGTGATTGGACAACCATCGACAAATAATGTTCCAAATTCTCCTTTACCTCCGATCGGTCATTCTCGTCGTCTCTCGACACATCATGATGATTCGCATGTCATTCAACCACCAAATAGTGCGAATTCAAAAACCATACAACGACCCGCACCTATTCAAAGGCCACGAAGGGGATCCGCTTCTAATGCTTCGCAACCCATGGAAATGCGTACAAGATCACCACCTCCAGGATTTGGAGTTGGATCAAGTGTGCTACGTGGAGATGAAGTACCTTTATCGATGGCAAGTCGACGACAAAGTCTCGCAACTCCTCTAGAAACAGCAACCTCGTATTTCTCAAATTCTCTGTTTTCGACATTACCAGGTGGTTAGTGTTTTTTTTATTTTCTCTGATCAATCCATGTCATGTATAACCTAGTTTTTACATGGGTGGATTGAGAATGTGTGTGTGTGATTAGTGCACTGTTGTATCTTAATACGCGTGAATTTATATTGAAAAAAGTAATACAATAAACCAAACGAAAGTAGGTAATGACACATCTCAACAGGTACAAACAAAGTCCAAGCAAACATCTTCACATCCACCTCCAATTGCTCCCGCTTCATCATCGCGTACCAATGCGCATCGGCATACAGTTAGCGAACATGATTGGCCACCAATAAGAAGAAATACGACGACAGCAACGACTTCTACTACAGAAACAATAAATGAACATTCTGTGATCGGGATATCTAATACAAATAATAACCACAGTACTAATAATAGTAATAAGAATAGTCATAGTATCACATCAACCACTACATCGAAAACATCAACGACGACGACACATCCCAATCCTGTTTCTGCATCTAATGACAGTAACAATCTTAGTTCAGAGATATGGGGAATAAATGGAGGTGTTGTTAATAGTGGTGGTAGTGCACAGTCATTATGGTATCAAGAACCAGGGGTAGTAAATAGTAGTAGTAATAATATTAATAATAACACTGCTGCTAGTACTACTGCTAATAATGCTAATGCCACAAGTATTGCTAGTAATAATAATACTCTTCGAAGGGGAATGAGCGCCAGAGACTTTGGAATATTAAGAGATCAATTATAATTAAAGGCTGGTTGTTCCATTATTAATATTACCTTTCGAATGACATTTATTTTAAATATATACACATATATTTGAAACTCTTGTATATCTTCACACTATATATATTATTAGTATATATATGAAATATATATTACTAGTATATATAAGATTCTTTATTTTAAAACTTTCTTTCTAATTGTCTCTTAATGCTTTGCTTTTCTGCTTCCTTCACCTCTCATCTCTTTTATATATATACATTATTCTTCATCATCTTAACAATTCATTTACAAAATATTATTCTTATTATAATTATATATGATTACTAATAACGTAAGTGCGTGTGTCCTTGGAGTAAAAAAGGGAACATTGTACATTAATTATTTAGATATCTAAAAATTTAATTTTACAAGAATCAATAAAATTTTGTGATTCCAGAATCATGCATACATAACATTAAAATTACGCTATGACGCGTCTATGCTATAAATGGATAAGACGCGTTAAAAACATCAACTTTTTTGAGAATACCAGCTTTTTTGAGAACCAGTTCATTTCAAAAAACCACAATGGACTCTAACAAAGGCACTTCACCGCCACCCCTTCCACGCATGAGACGGACTTTCCATCAACACCCATCTTCACGCCCACAACAACCACTCACCATTCAAGACCGTGAATTAGATCGCGCTGAAAGAAGAACACAAGCATTCTCAAGTTTGGCCCAAGAATTGGAGCGTGCTGAGCCATCAATTCCGACAGTTTATGTTCCTCAAAATAAAACTGAAAGCCTATTAAAGACTATTAACAATACTAGACGAGGAAAAGATAATAAATTTGAGGGAATGGACTTGGGCTCGGAACTTTATAGAGCCGAAAGAAAGACTCAACAACTACGAAAGACTTCGTTTGATGGTAGTGAAAGTTTAAATAATAATAATAATAATACGAGAATTCGTCTTCCCTCTCAAAGAAAATCTCAAAAAGAGTTGGTTACTCAAGAAACAACTTACCAATTTGCAAATAAGCCAAGTAGCTACATGTTTGACAAATCAGAGAATATTGTAGCGAATGTAGAGAATATTAATCTTGAATTTAATCAAGTAAAGTCAAAGTCTCGTATTTCTTTGGGAAAAAAAGATTCACGTCTTTCCTTCGAAAATCTCAAGGTAAAAGCGGATGATGACCGTACTCCGAAAAAACGGACCACAACTCGCAAATCAAGTAGATCAGGAACACCTTCAAAACATCACACCCCTTCAAAAACTAAAACTCCTAAAATTAGAACCCCACTGGTCGATAAAAGCAATACTCAGTTTTCTGTTATCAATGAAAATGACATTTCACACTATTTGGAAAATTACAAGAAATCGCCTACCATCGAAGAAACAAAAGAATTTTCTGAAATTACACCAGATTCTAAATCTGCCGAGCCCGAAAATCCTGGAAATCCAAATCTCCAATTCGAAGATACCCCATTAACAAGTTTTCTCGTCAAAGAGTCTCCATTATTTAAAAACATAGACTCTAGTGATTTGGCTTCTTTCAGCACCCCAAAACAAGGTGAATTCTCAGAAGATTCTAATTCAACAATTAAAGCGTCATCAACAAGAGTATCAAATGTGGCTTCTGTAGAATATACACCTACGCCGCAATTACTTACCAATGAATCCCCGGTATCTGAATTCACCTCGTCTGTTTTGTCTGACATCAATAATAAGATTCGAGAACTAGATGAAATCGTACAAGAAACGCCACCAACTATAAAAGGTGTAATAATTCCTTTTGTTCCACTTAATCCATCAACTACTCCGTCTAAAAGAATGAGAGTAGAAGATGAACGTGACTATTATCAGAAAAGACTTCGTCAACTAGAAGAAGAGGTTCAACAGGCTAAATGTGAGTAATTGGCTAGACTTATACATTTTTTTACTTTTTTGATTTGCTATTTACAAAATTCTTTCTGCTAAAAATTCAATACAGATGTCGCCAATCATTTTAAACAATTACTTAATGGACCAATTTATCTTAACGACGCGAAGTCAATTAGAAAGTTGATGAGCCGAATTGGAAAATACAAATCTGCTCAAGTCAAAGAACAACTCGTAAAAGACGAAGGTGATGAAACTGGATTGCCCGAAAGTGTAGAAATAGTTTATTTATGGCTTGAAAGAAATGGTAAAATCACATAAAATTACTTTCCTTTTTGAAATAGCCCATTTGTTGATACATTAATGTAAATTCTTTCTTCTTTTGTGTAGGCTATTTGGATCAATATATGCTTCCAGAATTTCGTGCAGTCGAAGCAGTAGCCACCATGGAGCTTACACCTACTTTTGAAAGAATGAAAGAAAGTATCCGAGAAAAGCTCACTGCCGAGAATTCAAACGCGGACACAAGCAAAGAATTCGAAAATCGCAAAATACAGAATGTCTGCGCGATTCTTTCGATCTTCTCGCAACCAAACAGTTTTCAATCGCTCAAATGGCTGAAACTCAGCGATATGTCCATCTCTGATTCTTATTTAATCCATCTGCACACTCTTCAATCTTTGGAGCAACTGTATCTCGACAACACTTCGACCAGTGACGAAGGAATCGCGAATTTGGTCGCCCTTAAAAGCACACTTAAACAATTAGATCTAGCCAACAATATTCGCATTACCGATCGTTCCTTTTATAATCTTCGATATTTTGAAGTCATTGAACAGCTGGCATTGGAGGGAACTAGCACCACGATGGATGGTCTTCGAACTTTTGTCCGGGAATCAAGGAGCAAGAATTTGCATCAACTCACTGTTCCTCAGGAATGCCGTGATTATCTAAATCATCGACATCTCCTTTACTGCATTGCACCTAAACAACAAAACTCGAACCGTATTCCATTCATCATTGATCCAAGACGTGTTGTTTTGTTGTCAATGGCGACACTTAAACTACAATTGGCCTTCCATTATGAAATTAATCCTAATATTTGTATCACGGGCGGAAAAGTTGAATTGGCGGATCGATTACGAGAAATTTTGGAAAGACGTCGAGATGATGGAAAAGTCTTGCAATTAGTGGGTGGTCGTGATTTCTGAGGTTGCGAAATTCTTTAAATTGTTAGTACGTACGTCATTGCTAGATTTTTTTAAAAAATTCAAATCCATTGACAATTGTGTAAAGTGGTCCCATCATTGGCACACAAATATTTTTTGCTTATTACTACAGAAGTAAATGGATGTACTTTGCACGTTGATCTCTTACATTCTACCCTAATTATTTAATGCAAGCCAAAATTACGACTTTCAAAATGTTAAATTCTAACATTTGCTAAGAAAAACTTGTAACTTTATATTATATCACTTATTTATTATATATACAATATTGGATTATAATAATTAGAACCGCCGACCAAACAAAAATTTAATTATAATACAACAAAATATGCACAAAAGTAAATAACGATAATAGAAATAAGCAAAAGATGCCAGTATTGATATAAAAAAGAACTCAAACATTAGAGAACATAAACCATTTTCATTCATTGTCGACCCATAAACTAGCCAATGGTCCAAAATATGGGACCTCATATCGCTCTAAAGTTGCCCCATCAACATATGCGCGATATCTAAAAAAGATTCAATTTGAATTATATTAAAAACATAATATAAAAAATTAAATAATTAATCAAAGAATAAAAAAAACTTACGCGAGAAACCCAATTAAACCCAATTCAACTAATAATAATAGAAAACTAAGCTTTAATAACCAGAAGTTTATAATAAAGTGAAAAAACTACAAGAAAGAAAGCAGGAAGTCAGTTTTTATTCTTGATTTTACAAATATAGATAATATGCGATGAGTAAAATCAACTTACAAACAGCGGGCCAAATACTAAACATGACTAATAATTTCATATTTGGCGGAAATGAAATGAGTATAATATAAAATATAAGGAGACAAACAAGTATGTATTCCCTCCCACCTGCCAAGCATGAAACCGAACGTAATCATTCTTTTGTTCCAGAATTAAAAACATCACGCCTAAATAAAAATTGATTAGTTTACTAATAGAATTTAGAGCAAATACGTAAATATACGTAAATTAAATAATCATATACCCGTGATGCATCCAAGTATATAAGTCATTGCCGCGGCAAAATCAACCCTAAAAAATAGAAAAAATAACCTAGGAATTAGTAAATAACACGAATTTCTCGCATAATGCTGAGTCAAATTACAACCTTATAGGCAAATCTGTTTCATATGTGTTGACCTTTATTTGGTTTGAGGGTGCCTGTCCTGTAGCTTGATGTACTCCAGCAAAAGGTGCTGTTGAAGTTGAGCTGGAAGCTGCTGCTGCAGAAGTAGACGCCGAAGAAGCATGTGCATTACTACCACTACCACTTGGAACTGGAGTGTACCGATATGTTTTACTTTCGTCTGGCGGCGGTGAGTAAGGAGCAAAAGTTGAGGGGTTTTGATAAGACATTATTATTACGTATTCTTATTTTTGGTTTGTTGTCTGTGCGTAAAAAAAACGTGGTTAAAAAGACAGTTCTTAAAATTTCACATGATGGATATTCTGGTATCATATGAACATGACATACGCAGAAACGGAGACATTCTCAGCGATATAGCAGGCTATTGCGGGAATTGCAGACGTATTTCTTAAATACTTTTTGAGTTACATTTACTCCTTTGAAATATATATACTTTGGAATTTAAAAGAAACTCTAACCATAGGCTAACAGAATTAACATTAACATGATAGGAAAGGTAATTTTGCTCTACTAAATCATTTAAAATGATAACATTCTTTGTTAATTTGTATGTTTCTCATACATAGGTCTTTCAGCTTTTCTTTTCTCCGATATTCAACTTCTTCGGTCCTTTCTTCTCCCGCTTTTCAGATGCCGTCACCTCTCAGAAAACGCAGCGCTTCGCTGTCAAATCAATATTTTTGTTCGTCGTTTTTGTTTTATTGGCGTTCCTGGCATCAGTCTCATACTTTGGATTTTACATGTTTTATGTTCCGAAAATATCACATGTTAGGCCCGTTTATATGCAATACCAGTAAGTCTTCTGTTGTTGATTGATGATCTTTTATTATGAATTGTTGTTCTCGACCGATTATTTGATTTCTATTGTGTATGTATTGATAGAAAAGACGCGTCTCCGACGGCTTTGATCAATTTTACACCGGGACACAATGTAATTTATTTTTGATTTTATCGGTTATTATTGCATTTTTTCGACATCTAAATATATTTCTATTTATTTAGTTTCTGACAGCCGACCAAGCTTACGATGTCACAATTGATTTACATGTTCCCAATTCAGAAAGAAATGTCAAACTAGGTTAGAATAGAAAAGAATCCTTCGCGTTAAGTTCAAATTTTAAGATATTTTTTGTTTTTTTTTTTTTTAGGAAATTTCATGGTTTATTTGGAGCTTAATTCAGCCAAAAAAAATAACGAAACGGTTCAACGATCAAGTCGTTCGGTAATTATTAAATTAGAGAAAATTTCGATAGAGAAATTTAGCTATAGAGTTAAATTTTATCTCCTGACAATAGGCCATTCTTCATAAACAATCCAATTTACTTCGGTCAATATCTACTATATGGCGTTTACCCACCTTACTACTAGGCTGGGCAAAGGAAGATCAAATGTTACACGTGAAAATGTTGGAGAATATGATCGAGGATCCGGTAAATTAGTCTCCTCAATCCTTGCCTTCTCTTTATATATAACCTTTATTTTTCAATCAAATAATTAGGATAAGCCAATATCAGACGCGTATATTACGATTGATGAGCCGTTCATTGAAACTTATGAAGTGAAGATTCGACTAGATGCTCATTTCAAAGGGCTCAGGTGATTCGAATTTACTTTTCACATTTGTTTTTGTTTGGTTGTTAGTTTTTACTAAAATAATCAATACTAATATATTGAGTACAGATATTTTATGTACTATCATCCATACGTTACCGGAACCACTTTCACCGTGATATTTCTATTTTGGGAATGTTTGTTTTGTTTTGTGGCGTGGAAAATGTTGGTTACCTGGTGGCAAACCCAATTTCCAGGAGCTCTTGAGAACCGTCCTAGGATTGCGGCAAAAAGAAATGACGGTATCAATGGTGATGATGAAAGCCAAAATGGAGATGGTGTTCCAATTGAAGAGGATTGGGAGACAGTTAGACATGATGATGGTGAAATTGATGCAAGCGAAGATAAAGAGAATACAACCGAGGCTGAAAGTGAATCTGAAAGGGTAAGTTGATATTAATTAATAATGAGAATCCTCTTTGTTTCGACATACCAAACAAACCAATTGATTCATTATAATTAAATCAGTCGCACATTGGAGTCAGTAACGTAGACACACAACTTAATACACCCACGTCTCCTGAAGCCAGCTACACCACTGAATCATATACCACCGAAGATGACGATCAGAGCGTTGTATCGGGGCATTCTGGCATCGTAGGTTCCAGGATACCTGGAATTGATGATGATGATTCGATTGGTTACGATGATGGACAAGGAAGTATCACCCCTACTACAAGAAGTCGAAGAACTTCTACGTCCAATCTTTCTTTAAGTAACGCCGTTACAGACGACGACGACGATTATGAAAGACAAGAGAGACCGATAGTCGGCACTTCTACTTCTCGAGTACCCACCACTGGATCACGTCCTTATAATAGACGTGTGACGACGCCAGGTGCTGGAGTCGGTGGTGGCGCAGATAGTGATACTAATGTGGGTAATAATAATGGCCCATTTAATTAAGTTGAGATGTTTCTGCTTGTATGATAATATCATAGTTATATGAAATATATCGTGAAATTTACAAAGATCACGTGGTAAGATCCGAAATATGAAATTCTGGCCCAGTTCTAGCTTCTCAATTAATGGTATATGACAAAAGAAATTTGAGCTTTTAAAACTTTACTTGGTCTAAATTATATCATACCTGGATATTATATATATTCGCGGATATAAAAATTTTTAAAACAAGTATTTTGTACAAGCCTCGGTACTACACTGACCTACGATAAATCTTTATCGAGTAATGTTCTTTTTATTTTCTCTTTTGTTCTGATTTTTACATTGTTTCGATCTTTTATTTGTATATAAGAACACTATTCACTCTTCTTTCTATTCATAATGTCCTTACCACGAAAAGAATTATCCTCTGAACTTTGTTAACAAATAATTGATGCATATCATATGAAGAGCAATGCTTCAGCTATTGCCTCTACCCTCGCTATCCCAAAGCAAACAGTACGTGATATAATTAATTGGTTTAAGAAAATCAGGATCTCCGCATCCTGTAAAATGCACTGGATGACAAAAAATTTTATCAGGACGTGATAATGAAGTTTAAAATGTATTGTAGAAAAAGATTGCAAAGCATTGCTTATTAAAACTACCAATCAACTAAATGCATATATTAATACTTCAATTCACTCTAATACCACTCGTAATTGCATAAAATTATTAGCATTCGAATCTCACTATGCAAGTCATAAACCTTTTTTAACTACTCAACATAAAAAAAATCATTTACAATGGTGCAAAGAAAAGAAAAACCGGAATGGCACCAAATCGTATGGTCAGATGAATTACAATTTTCCCTTTTCCATTCAAGAGTATGGTAGTATCGGTAATGTTTGGGAATGTATTGGATGGATTTTTGGTAACAATTTGGATTCTGACAGTTATGCTATAAGTAATCATTCTTATACAATTTTTCAGTTGCAAATATACAGAATTCCAGTTTTAGAATGGGCTGTTCAAAGTCACAATTTAAAAAAGAAAACTAGAGGTTGAAACTAAGGATAATCTCCAAAATGATATTATTTAATTAAATAATTTGCTGAAATTAATTTGTCAAATTAAATCCAGAATTATTTCAATTTATTTTATTAGTAATTGAATTTCTAGAATATTTTTAAGTATTCATTAATATAAGCAATATAGCAAAATCAAATTGCTTGCCAAACTATTATTTTTTTCAAAAATAATTTAGACAATTATCTTTAATTGGAACTAAAGATGGATTTTGAAACTTATAAGTTTAGAGAGATAATCAAAACTAAAAAATAACTAAAACTAGTTTCAAATATTTAAAAGTTTAGGTTATATATTTGTAAGTTGAAACTATATTTGAAATTCTAAATTATATTTGAAACTTTAAATTATATCTAAAATTCTAAATTATATTTGAAACTTTAAACTTTAAATTATGTCTTAAATTTTAAATTATATTTGAAACTTATAATTATATTAAAATTCTAAATTATATTTAAAATTCTAAATTATATCTGAAACTTAAACTATATTTAAAACTTTAAATTATATTTAAAACTCTAAATTATATTTAAAACTTTAAATTATATCTGAAATTCTAAATTATATTCAAAATTCTAGATTATATTCAAAACTAAATTATATTTAAAACTCTAAATTATTATTATAAAATTTTTTTAAATTGAATTATAATTATTTATATTTTATAGAAATATTATTATAATATAAATATTTAGTTATATTTTATTGAATAATTTATATTAGAATTTAATTGAATATTATTTAATTAATTTTATTAATTAAATTAGTTATATTTTATTGAATACTAGCTTTATAAAATATTATTTGTTGATATCTTTAGATAATGAAACAAATCTGGTAATTATAACAAAATTAATATAATAATTACAACAAAATTAGTATAATAATCATTAATATAATAATTATAACAAAAATAATATTAATATTATAGTTAAAGTAATATTTATAAAACTATTTAATAATATAAAATAATATATTTAGCTAATTATTTAGATAAATTTTAGATTTTAAATAGTATAAATAAATAAATTTAACAATTAAAATTTTAAATTATTTTCTTAAAATTATATATTATATTAATAACAAAATCTTGTTTTATTAATAAATTATTTATATTTTAATTTATAATTAAAAGTTATTATAGAGATTTATTATTTTATATTATAATTTATTAAAGTTATATTAAAATTATTTATATCTTTTTATATTTACTCTATTTTGCTTTTCTATTTATATATAAATATAATAAAAAAACTCACTTTATAATTATATCTTTTTTATAATTATCAAATTTTGCTTTTATAAGAATAACAATTATCAAAAGATTTAATTATATATAAAAGATATTGAAATTATATTGCAAAAAATATATATAAAATATAAATTAATTTTATTATAAAAAATAATAATAATTTAATATAAAATTCTTTGAAAGATTTCAAATTCAACAAATAATTATTCTTATTAAAATTTCAAAAAAAAGTCTAATTTAGTTCAAGCTTAAATTAAACTAAAAATAAAATTATAATTAATTATAACTTAATTACAATTTTCTGATTAACTATTATAATTAAATTATAATTTTCTGATTGATTAATACAAGTTATAATTAATTGAGATATTATCTTTAAATTAAATTTGAATCCAATCAAAAATCTAATTCAAGTTTGATTTAAACTCAAATTTAAGTAAAATTATAGATAATAATTAGAACTATAAATTAATATAAAATATTTAATAATAAAATAAATACTTAAAAATTTATTTAGATTTAAAAAATAATTTTTAATTTTTAATTATTATAATTTTAATTTATTTTAATTATGTTATAGTAAATATTTATTTTTGTTTAGTAAATATAAATTAATATAATATAATTATTATTAATAATAAATATTTAAAGAAATATATTGCTATTATTTCTAGTTTTTACATGTGAAAATATTTAAAAATAACTAATAATAACTATATTTATAACAAATTTTAAATAAAAATATATAATTAATAATAGTAAATAGTTATAATAACAAATTAATGTAAATATTGTTATTATTTTTATTGATATTAAGTTCTTGATGTATTAATCACATGTTTTATTAAAATAAGAGTGAAGAAGATTAAGTTTTTATAATAGAAGAGATTAAGATTTATCACTAAAGGTAGGTAAAGTGTGTTCTTGTTGTGACGAGCTAGAATGACATCTAATAACTTTATTAAGTTTTGTATATTATTTAGAATTTCAAAAGTGATAATACAAGTAATAAGTTTTATCAAGCGACTGTCTTTCAAGTCAATAACAATGATTTATTATAAGCAATCTATCTTTCAAGACCAAAAACCAATACAAATATAACTATACAAGTTATCCAAGTTTCTATCAAACAAGAAACTTC